ACACACACACACACACACACACACACACACACACACACATACACGCACACACACACACACACACACACGCACACACACTGGACAGAGGTATGGGGACATTCGGTACCGATGGGCAGAGCCAGCCCACCTGGTCCAGGTACTGGGGCAGCAGCTCACACAGCACCTTCTCTGTGCACTTGCTCATTTCTGATGGCTTCAACACCACGCAGTTCCCTGTGGGGAGAGGGAAGCGGTCTGGGAAGGCCAGGGCACGGCTGGAAGGGTCAGCACCCAGGGCACCCTCGCCCGTGGGACTCTGGGGTCTCTCTTTGGGAAGGCTCGAGGCCTGGGAGGCCTGGGACCCCTCCTCACCCGCAGCGAGCGCCCCCACCAGGGGCATCAGCGTGAGGTTCACGGGGTAGTTCCAGGGGGCTATGATGAGCACCAGCCCGAAGGGTTCCTTCCGGATGAAGGCGGAGCTCAGCTTCGTGAGCTGCGGGGCAGGAGCCGTGGTGAGGTGCGGCTGAGGCCCACCCGAGTCCTCCCTCCCTCCGGCATGCCAGGCCCCCAGCTCCTGGACAGTCCTGCGAGGACTTGGTGAGTGGGGAGCAGAGAGGGCCTGGGGCCTAGCCGCCCCCTCTCCTCCCCCGCTGCCATCTCCCCCACCCAGCCAGCAGGTCTCACCAAATTGGTGGCCACGTATTCATCCTTCATCCAGGCCCGCAGGTTCTTGAGTGCTAGATCCACCTCGTTCTGGCACTGGATGAGCTCCGAGGTGTCTGATTGGAAGGCCGACTGTGGGGGAGGTGGAGAGGACAGGTCAGGCACATGGCCGGGAGGATACGGAGCCTTGGCGAGGGCACGAAGGGGTCTGCACAAGCGTGTGAGGATGGCCTCTATCAAGATCATGGGGGTCCTGTGGGAACGGCACACAGACCGCCTGGGCTCTGATTCCAGCATGTCAGTGCTTAGCATTGTAGCCCGGGCAAGTGACTTCACACAGAGTGCCTCAGTTTCCCTGTTTGATGACGGGGGACAGCAATTAAGCCTGCCCGGCAAGGGGGCTGTCCATCTCACCCTGTCCATGTCACACAACAGGAAAGGGGCTGCTGCGTAAATACACCTGGAGAAATCTGAGCACAGAGCCCGTCAGGTGGGGGACAAGACCCTCCATAGGGCGGACCGATGCCCAGGAAGGACACAGCACCCTTGCCTGTCCCCCCCTTGCCCGCATCCACACCTTGTTCAGGTCCTGGGCCAGCGCCTCTTGCAGCTGCTGCTTGTGGTCCTGCAGGAAGCGGCCCAGGCCCCGGAGCTGCGCCGCCCGGAACTCGGCCGGCCGTGTGCGGCCCGCGCGGAAGGCCTCCCGCAGCCGCCGCAGCGTGTCCTCATGGGGAACCAATCTGCTGGATGGGCGGAGGAAACCGTGTCAGGGGCTGCTGAGGACCCCTCCAGACACCACAGGACCTGTGACAGCCCATGTGCATCTGTGCACGTCTGAGGGCCTGTGTTCACTCTGTGTGTGCGTGTGCGCACATGCACGGGCATGCTTGCACATGTGTGTGTTCTGAGTGTGCGGATGAATGGAGGTGTGTCTGTGTGTCCATGCATGTCTGTGTGTCCATATGTAGATGTCCAGGAGCCCCGCCTCAGAGCCTCACTGACCCCAAGAGAGTGGGGACTGTGCTCTGGAGGCCATAGCCACACTGCCACCTGTGCCTCCCGGGGCTTGGCAGGTCACTGAGGCAGTGAAGCAGACAGCGCCCTCTACAGGCAGCTCCCCACTCTGCAGCCTCCACCATGGATAGTGCCCCCTACAGGCAGCTCACCACTCTGCAGCCTCCACTGTAGACAGCGCCCTCTACAGACAGCTCCCCACTGTGCAGCCTCCACCATGGACAACGCCCCTTACAGGCAGCTCCCCACTCTGCAGCCTCCACTGTAGACAGCACCCTCTACAGGCAGCTCCCCACTGTGCAGCCTCCACCATGGATAGTGCCCCCTACAGGCAGCTCCCCACTGTGCAGCCTCCACCATGGATAGTGCTCCCTACAGGCAGCTCCCCACTGTGCAGCCTCTGCCATGGACAGTGCCCCCTACAGGCAGCTCCCCACTCTGCAGCCTCCACTGTAGACAGCACCCTCTACAGGCAGCTCCCTGCTGTGCAGTGCCCACCGTGGACAGGGCCCATCAAACCAACTGTCACGGCCGTGTTCCTAGTAGTAATAGGTCAAGCTGATCAGCTAAAGCCCAGCTCAGAGCTGAGGAAGACAGGAGCATGCTCCCAGACACACCTCTTCACATGACAGCTTGACCATCATTTCTGGAATGGGGTCTCCATGTTCATGGCCTCTCCAAATCCTGATGGTGGACATAGTGGCTGGCAGGTGTCAGTGAAGGTTGTTCCCTCCTGTCCAACTGTCCCCAATAGCAACTGTCCCCCATAGCAACTGTCCAACTGTCCCCCATAGCAAGACCTGGAGGAACCCACTGGACCCCACCAAAGAGGACAGAGCCACTCCCTGCAGGGAATCCTGCAGGGACAGAGCCTGGCAGGGCTGCATCCCTGCAGTCTGCCTTTCCCTTCAATCCAAGAGCTGCATGGTTGGCCTGAAGCTTTCCCAGCCTTCTGGTTCCCAGGCTCTGCCCCAGATCCTCCCATTAGAAATGCCAAACATCATCCTAACCAGCACCCTGGACATCCTGAGCACACCAGCCCTGCTCCCTGGAGCCTTTGTGCAGCTGAGTGCCTCAGAGTCTGGGATGCAGGATGACCCCTGAGTCCTCCCAGAATGCTGGGCCCAGTGTGGTGACACCTTCCTCTGGAGGCAGCAGCTTGGGGAATCCCAGGCCCTTCCAGGGTATGCCTGGTGAAAAGCCTGGGAGCCAGCAGTATCTGTCTGACAAAGGAGGGAACAGACAGAGGCCAAGGCCACACAGCAGATGGGGTGGGAGAGAATCTGGCACACTAGCTCCTGCTCCTCATCCAAGCTGCTCTCATTGTTGTTGTTGTTTTTCAGTACTGGGACTTGAACTTAAGGCCTAGTGAGGCAAGCACTCTTACCAGAGAATCATGCTTCTAACCCTGATTTTTTTTTGTGGGTTGTGGGGCTTGAACTCTGGTCCTGAATGCTGTCCTTCAGCTCTTCAGCTCAAGGTAAGCACTCTATCGCTTGAGCCACAGTGCCACTTCTGGTTTTCTAGGGTTTATTGGAGATAAGAGTCTTAAGGACGGGCTGGGAAGGTGGCTCAGTGGTAGAGCGCTTGCCTTGCATGCCTGAGGCCCTGGGTTCGATTCCTCAGCACTACATAAGCAAAAAGAAAAAAAGCCAGAAGTGGCGCTGTGACTCAAGTGGTAGAGCGCTAGCTTTGAGCTGAAGAGCTGAGGGACAGCGCCCAGGCCCAGAGTTCAAGCCCCACAACTGGACCCCCCCCAAAAAAAAAGAGTCTCAAGGACTTTTCTGGCTGGGCTGGCTTTGAACCGTGATCCTCAGATATCAGCTTCCTGAGTAGCTAGGATTACAGGCATGAGCCACCGGTGCCTGGCTTTCTGGGGTTTGTTTTTTGTTTTGTTTTGGTTTTGGTTTTGCCAGTCATGGGACCTGAGCTCTGGGCCTGGGCACTGTCCCTCAGCTCTTCAGCTTAAGGCTAGCACTCTATCACTTGAGCCACAGCGCCACTTCTGGCTTTTTCTGCTTATGTGGTGCTGAGGAATCAAACCCAGGGCCTCATGCATGCAAGGCAAGCACTCTACCACTGAGCCACCTTCCCAGCCCTGGGGTTTGTTTGTTTGTTGTTGGTCGTGGGGCTTGAACTCTGGGCTTGGGCACTGTCCCTGTGCTCTTCAGCTCAAGGCGAGCCCTCTACCACTTGAGCCACAGCGCCACTTCCAGCTGTTTTGGTAATTAATAGGAGAGAAGAAACTTTCCTGCCTCAGCTGTCTGGGAACCATGATTCTCAGCCTCCTGAGTAGGTAGTATTATAGGCATGAGCCCTGGGCACTCAGCTTCCAGCTTGTGTGTGTGTGTGTATGTTTAGTTAGGAGCTTTTGTTTTTGTTTTTTTCTTTTTCTGTTGGTCATGGGGCTTGAACTCTGGGCCTGGGCGCTGTTCCTCAGCTCTTCAGCTTAAGACTAGCACTCTATCACTTGAGCCACAGCACCACTTCCATTTTTCTGAGTGGTTTATTGGAGATAAGAGTTTCACAGACTTTCCTGCCTGGGCTGGCTCTGAACCTCGATCCTCAGATCTTTTTTTTTTTTTTTTGGTCTGTCCTGGGGCTTGAACTCTGGGCCTGGGCGCTGTCCCTGTGCTCTTCAGCTCAAGGTGAGTGCTCTCCCGCTTGAGCCACAGGACCACTTTCGGTTTCCTAGTGGTTTATTGGAGATAAGAGTCTCACGGACTTTCCTGCTCGTACTGGCTTTGAACCACGATCCTCAGATCTCAGCCTCCTGAATAGCTAGGATTACAGGGGTGAGCCACCAGCACCTGGCTCTTTCTGATTATTTTTGACATATAGTCTCACTTACTGCACCACCATGTCAAGCTCTTTGTCAAGATGGGGCTCTCATGAACTTTTCATCCAGGCTGGTCTTGAGCTACAATACTTCCACTCTCAGCTACCCAAGTAGCTAGGATTATAGGCATGAGCTACAGGAGTCTGGTTTCAAGGCTATCTTGACTCATTTATTACCCATGCAGGGGTCTGGCACCCAGGGCTGGCAGGATGAGAGGCTGGAGGACTGAAGGGCTGGCAGGCTGAATGGCCAGCTGGTGACTGCTGGTGGCTTATCATGCAGGCCCCGGCTAGATCTGAACTGCCCATCTAACCATGACAAGCCCTCCTACATGAAAAATACTGTGTGTGCGCATGTGCGCACGTGTGCGTGTGCGTGTGTGTGTGTGTGTGTGCCTTGTTGCTTAATGAGAGAAGCTCCAAGAAAGGATCCTTAGGCAATCCTGTCTTACCTCACATAGCATCAGAAAAAGTGCTTGTTCAACCCAACCTAGTCTGGCCTGTTAAGCTCTTACCAGTGTTATAATCTTACAGTATTATTGGTGCACAGACAGACGGACATGGACTGGAATGCCACTTATCCAACACAAATATAACTATGAACACAATTGGCATGCCTTAGGCTCCAGCAGAGGCCAGCTTGATGCCCCTCTGCCAGTCCCCGGAAATAAAAGGCCAGGGGGGTGCCTCTCAGAGAGTCGGGGTTGTAAATAAAGGACCAGTACCTGCAAAGGCCCTGTGTGGAAGATTATAAGAAGCAAGCTGCAGCTGGGTCGCTTGACAGCCTGGTAGAAATGATCACACAGGCTACAAATCCACTGTGGAACACAGGTTTGACAGAAAGCAGAGTCTGTGGCCCCAGTGGAGCATTATCCATTGGAAGCTCGCAGGAGCCGAGGGCCAGAGGCCAGTTGAGAATGGGGGCTTCGGCTCTGTCCCTTGTGGGCCCTGCAGTCCTCTCCTGGCACCAACACTGCAGTCATGTGCCCGTGTGCCACCTCTCATTTATTCTAATCTCAGCATTTTTCTATAGCTTTCACATGTTCTGCAGTGGGAAGGTCAACACTGACGACCAGAACTGAACAGAGATGGTGGCTTTTTATACCTGAAGCCACCCACTCAACACTGACCTCCACCAAGTCCCCTCTTTCCTGGCCATCCTTGCCAGCCCCGTCTGTCTGCAGCTGCCTCCTCCTTGAGCCTGGGCACGCCATGGCTTCCTGGTGCTTCCTGGGATCTGTCTGATCACTAGGTGAAGCGACCCAGGATCTGCGGACCTGAGACCAAGTGGCAGAGCTGGGGCAGGACGTGTCTGGCTGTCACGCTGTAGCCGCAGCCCCTTGGGCAGTCTGGTCTTCCCTGCTTCTGTGACCCCCGCACCCCTTTCCTCCAGGCACTGACTGCTCCAAAGGCCTTTTTCCCCAAGACCTCTGAGCCCAGTTCCCCACCATATGACTCACCCCATGGAAGATGCCGAGTCTGGACCCTTGGTGGACATTCTAGCTGAAGATGCACGAACTCCACTCCTGTCACCGCTGCAGCCTCCTTCTCTTCCCAGAAGGCTCCCAGCTCTCACAGGCCCCAGTGGCCACGCCCTGTGGAGGAGTCGTGCTGGCTGCTCCGGGCACCTGGCACAGCAGGGTGAGCTCAGGTCTCCTGATTGAGTTCCACACCTCCCTCCTACGGCCGCCCCGCCTCCCTGACCCAGCTGGTTGGGAACAGGTGGCGCTGGCTGCGCTGGCCACCCTGGCTCCGGCGTGTGTGGGAAGGGCCATCAGGGACTCACCTGGGAAAGAGAAACTCTCCAGATGGATGGGGTTCAAGAGGAACACCGTCGGGACTCTGGCCCCGCCAGGCCCCGTGCTCAGC